CCAAGACGTTTGTCTTTCTTCTATTTAATTTTAAAATTTAACAAAAATTAATTAAAAAGGGGTAGATAAGTTTGACAATGATATGCAGAAGGTAACGCCTGCTCGCGCACCTCTCGCGTTTCTCTGCTCGCTTCTCTCTTCTCCTCCCTTCAAAGTTTTTCAAGTCTTATAGTTTCAGTTTTTGTTTCACTTAGCTGCGCCTGCGCGCGAAGACTGCTTGGCTTTGCTTTTGGCTGCATGCCACAAAGGCCATTCTGACTGTTCGCTGTCCGCAGCGGTACGTCTTCCTTTTTTCCTTTTTCATGGATACCAGAGGAGAATCTGAAACATACAAAAAAGACGGAACAGACAAGGACTATACGACAAATACACAAAGATTTAACAAATAATTTTTCTGAACTAGACAGTTTCTCCATCATGTGAAGGCACCTCTTCGACATCCGGAAGGTTCCACAGGAAAACATTGTGTTTCACAGGCATAAGAACGTCTTTTTTAATGAGTTCTTTGGTTGAACGCATCGATATTTTCCTCTCTAGAGTTCTGGACGTCTGTTCAAAATGATTTCTCTTTTTCCTTCGTTTCCACTGCCAGGGCTCAAAGATTTTCCGGAGCAACACAAACCGTCGATGATTACTCTCCATAGGTGAAGGGGTAGGTGAGCGGGAGATAAATTCCACGGAACTCGTTTTCATGGCACCATTTACTTTCTTACTCAATACTATATCAGAACATTTTTCTCTTATAATAGTCAATTTTAACATAGTACTCTTAATTTTATTACATTTATAATCCTTAATTAGAGAACTCAAATCATTTCTAGTATTAAAGTTTTTAACATGTGTCAAATCATAACTAGAGTTTTCTATCACATTTGAAACAGAAACAACATTAGGATAAGCATAAGCATGAGCACCTAAAGAGGATTCACTTTCATTCAATAAAACATCGCTCTTTGCGTGGCCTAGTTTCTTTATTTCAGAATATACACTGGGATGTATAATAAATCCTTCGGTCAAGGTCGGTGATATTGCCGTTCGAACACTTAGACCGGAAGAGTGTTGATTAAGAGAAAGATTTATTGGTTTAACTTCTACCATACGCTGTTCGCCAAAACATGAACTTAATGTTATGATTTCTTCGGAAGGTGTTTGCACTCTAATTAGTGAGGAATTTAAAACTGGGATCTGGCAACCTGAATCAATCAAGGCTGTTACGGGCTGATTTTCCACAAAAATGTTTACATATTGAAGATTTGCAAATTCATCGCTATTTTGTTTTTCGCTCTCGATTTTCAAAGTATTCACGTTTATTCTATTATGGATGTGGTCGTTAGATTCTTTAGGTTTAAAACGCTTCTCACAGTCTCTTGCGTAATGAGATGAATCACCGCATATAAAGCAATTTTTATTTTCTCTTTCAAGATATTGGGGATAGTTCTCTTCGACTTTAGCTGCAGGATTTAAACTTAATGCTTTATTTTTAGTCCTTTGAACCTCTACACAGGCGGAACGAAGTTTCCGAAAAATGGCGGCGCGTCTCCTCCACGGATGGCTTTTGTTCACGTTCCAAACTTTGATCAAAATCGAAATTTTTTTTCAATCCCGGCCCCTACACAGGCGGAGTATTCATGCTGAGTTCAAACCTCTACACAGGTTGAACGAAGTTTCCAAAAAATGGCGGAGCGTCTCCTTCACGGACGCTTTTGTTCATTGTCCAGACTTTGGTTCAAAATCGAAATTTTTTCGATCCCGGCCGAGCCCCCATAATTTGTGGGAGACAACAAGGGGTCCAAGACGTTTGTCTTTCTTCTATTTTATTTTAAAATTTAACAAAAATTAATTAAAAAGGTAGATAAGTTTGACAATGATATGCAGAAGGTAAAGCCTGCTCGCGCACCTCTCGCGTTTCTCTGCTCGCTTCTCTCTTCTCCTCCCTTCAAAGTTTTTCAAGTCTTATAGTTTCAGTTTTTGTTTCACTTAGCTGCGCCTGCGCGCGAAGACTGCTTGGCTTTGCTTTTGGCTGCATGCCACATATATATATATATATATATTAAAAATACACTCATGTCCATAAATTAAGGATAATTCAGAATCACACAGAAATTGAAATCTAAAATAAAAATTTCACCTGTAGAATTATTACACATATCTTGAAGAAGAATATGCAAATTACAGGAAACCACCAGATGGCGCGGATAGTAAGTCACAATGACGAGAGTGTAAAAGAGGGGTATGCATAGTTATGGCACAAAGGAAGCATTTGGATAATTTTTTACGTGGTAGAATTATTGGACGACTGGAATGTGGGCGTACCCAGCTGGAAGTATCTGAGGAACTTAAAATCGCCCACAGTGTCATCTCCAGGCTTTGGCAACGATTCCAAGATGATGGTAATGTGAGCAGATGTTACAGCACAGGTCGCCCTCGAGTTACAACGCCGAATGAGGACCGGTATTTGGTAGTTACTGCCAAAAGAAACATACTGAGCACAGCAGCAGACCTGTCTCGTCAGCTCTCTTCAGCTACCGGTACGACCGTTTCAAGGCAGACCGTGTCAAGATGCTTAGGGCACATTGGTCTATATGCTGGTATGCCTGTCCGATATGTTCCACTTACCGCAACTCACTGTCGCCTGCGATTAACCTGGAGTAGAGAGCATGCATTGTGGACACCACAACAGTGATCTTGTGTGATTTTTTCCGACGAGTCCAGGTTTAGTTTGCAGTCTGATTCTCGTCGGACTTTAATATGGAGAGCGCCAAGTACCCGTTACCACCAAGAGAGCACCATTGAACGACACCGTTACGGTGGTGCTGGATGGCTCATTTGGGGAGGAATTATTCTTGGTTCCAGAACTGACCTGCATGCTCAGAGTGTAACGATGACAGGCCACATCTATCGGGATGTCATTCTGGAACAACATGTACGTTTGTTTTGGGGTGCCATGGGTGCTGAATTTCTGGCTATGGATGACAACGCCCGTCTTCACCTTGCAAACATTGTAGACGAATGCCTTCAATCGGAGGATATCAACCGTATGGATTGACCAGCATACTCACCAAATCTGAATCCAATAGAGCATGTGTGAGATATGCTTGGCCGACGAATTGCAGCCCATCAACCCCCTCCCACCTGTCTACCGGAAATTCGGAGAACATTGCTTGATGATTGGTGTAACATTCCTCAAGATCAGATCGATAATTTGATATTCGGCATGCCTAGGCGTTGTAAGGCCTGTATTGCATCGTCCGGGAGACATACTCTGTATTAACCTTCATACTAACCATGTTATACTGTTTTTTGTAAATAGGATCTTTTTTGAAATTTGCTCCAGGGAGTGTAAAAATCGCAATTTTTATTAATTATGTCAAACATATAGCATCTTTTTTGCTCTTTACCTTTTATTTAATAAATAGACTTTACAAATAAGTCAAATTTGTTTTGCTTCTGTCTCTTTCTTTGCCTGAACTGCATTATCCTTAATTTATGGACATGAGTGTAGTATATTTTTTGAAATATATGTATATTATTTTTTTAAAAAAATAGTATATATATATATATTAAAAATAGTATATATTTTTTAAATAGTATTTTTTTTAAAAAATAGTATATATATATATATATATATATATATATATATATATATATATATATATATATTTTAAAAAATAGTATAGATTTTTTTTAAATAGTAATTTTTTTTAAAAAATATATTTTTTTTTTAAAAAAATTAATTTTTTTCATTTGTGTGTAAAACAATTTTACCGGTACATATTTTTAACATTAAAGGAAATATATATTATTTCAAAAACGCTTATTTCACTTTAAATAAGATTTCATTCTCACTTTACAACTTATTTTGTGAACCTGTTTAGAATCTAAAAGCCACTGGAAATTTTAAAACGATCCAAACATATAATCTTCACTCCCACACAAAATGGTCAGACATCTCTAAATATATAAAATCGAATTAGATATTTCCGGAAGGCAATCGCAGACTTCGTCGTTTGCTTAATAATAACATACGACGTAGGATTCTGGCAACAGCAATAGAATCGATTCAGTGTTTCTCCGATTTTGATTCACTCTCAAGTTAATGGGGCAAGAATCGATAATGGAACTCCACGGGTTTCCCAGTGGAGTACAATTTTCGGAGCGAATTATTCCATATTTTCTTCACGTTTTTTCGACATCACGTTATTGGTTCGAATAAAATTAAAGCTTTTTCTTTTACAGTCAAAATTCGAATTTATTTTACTTTTATCGTTTGCTTATGTCTTAAAATGTTCCAGTTGAGGTAAACATGTTTGTATCTGCCATTTAATTTAAAGACGATAAAAATGAAATTTAATTTTATTGAATAGAGAGAGAATGCTTTTTTTAAAAAAATAATTCTGTTCTTTTAAAGAGATAAGAAATTCGATTTCTAAGATTAATATCATTCGTAAATTTTTAATTGAATGTTTTGGAATGATTTGGAATAAAATATTAACAACTTAATTAGATTAGCAAATTTAATTTAATTTTAGGATTTTGCTTTTTACTCAGGATCAAAATTGTTAAATATTATAAATTTAAATTACATTGCTTTGGAACGTAAGTAGAGCGAAGTTCAAAAATTTAATTCTCGTATACTTTCAATTTTTTTTTTCTGATTACCGTAAAATACGGCGTATAACACGTACTTTTAACACAAAAAAATAAGATCGAAATTTACGGGTGGGCGTTATACACCGGGTATAGAAATGATAGCTTTGAAAATAAACAAGCAACATAAAAAAATGCTGGCCAATTCCTACTTAGGTCAACAAAGAAAAGTTTCATTTTTGTTAATTTTTATTAAATGATTACAATTAATATAAATATGTATATACATCTGACAGAATCACAATATTAAATGGCAAAATAGAAAGCGAATTTCCATTTTTTCTTTTTATATACATGGTGTGGTGGACTATTACTTTGTATTCATTTATAAATCATATTCTCAGAAATTAGAACATCACCAGGTGAGATTCGAGGTCACGTCCTTTGGATTAGAAGTCCAACGAGCTATCCATTGCGCTACAGGGACACAACGAGCATTTTTACTTTTTATATATAGTCTTGGACTATTATGTGTTATTTCTATTTATTCATGAATTAAGTTAAATTAATGAATAAATATTTGAAAAAACTGTATTAACATCAAGTGTCATCCACTGCGAATTTTAAAAAAGTGCATTTGAAATTGAGAGGACGAATAAAAAGTATTTTATAAACAATTGAAAATTTGAGCAAGATGTATTTATACATATATATATATATATATATATATATATATAGAGAGAGAGAGAGAGAGAGAGAGAGAGAGAGAGAGAGAGAGAGAGAGAGAGAGAGAGAGAGAGAGAGAGAGAGAGAGGGAGGGAGTGCGAACTAATAGTAGGAATTGGAAACAAAATGAGCATAAAAAAAATTATTCTACTAGATGTATCGAAATACTGTACATTTAAAAAGAATGAAATTTCGTATGAATTTAAAGGGTTGTAATTTGGAAGTGTACTATTTGTTCAAAAAGCTTGTGATAATATCTCGAATAAATGAGTTCAAAACATAATACCATTCCACATGTACATTTCACGTTTATAGGGAAAATAGGTTTGTTAATAGATTTGTAAAATAGGGAGTGCGCGTTATGCGGCGAATATATCTAAGAATTAAAAAATGCATCTTAAAACTATAGGTGCGAGTTATACGCCGTATTTTACGGTAAGTCTTAATCTGTAATAATTGAGCTACTTTTGATGAATATTTCTTGAATTAAATAAATCTCTTTTCAAATGGGAAATATGTTAACAATTTCTGATTGTTTAAATTTCTTTCCTTCTATTGAATTTTCTTTTTCCCCATTAAATTGAAATTGTAGCTACTTTATTTCTTTTCTATAGAGATTTTCTGATAAGAAAAAAATGAAATATGTTTGAAATATTAATTTGTTTTTAAAAGGAATATAATGAAATATACATTAAAGAGCAACAAAGGGAATGCTAAAAAGAAAAGCATTAGGATGAAAGCAATTGCGCACATAAGAGTTTTTCCCGCGGAAAAGGGGCGAGGGTCGAAAGTCTACCCTTCTTGTGTCATACCCAAATACGTCGCCACTTCTACCTCCAACCAATCAGAGAGCACCCACTCAGCTCTGAGAAATTCCAAATTTTTCCAAGACATGAAGACCACCCCGCCTCCCGGATTCCATCGTCGCAACCAATAGGCTGCATGCTACTCCGCAGACTGCAAAACTCAACAAACGTCAAGCCCCACATCAAAGGTGGCCGCGGTAGCCGAGTGGTATAGGCATCGGATCGTGGCTGGCTTTGTCACGAGTTCGATCCCAGTACCACTAAAGACCCGCCGTGTAGGGCAGCGATGCACGCTAAATCTGTCGAGAGCTGAAACGTCCTCCCGTTGGTGTGGTGTGGTAGTTAGGAGAGGGGGTGCCAGCTCAGGTGTCGTCCACGTCACTTGACCATGGTTCAAAATTACGTGGTCCGTCGCCAAAAGCCCTCGTGTAGCTGAACAGTGCGACGTTAATCTTCACTCACTCACTCACCCACATCAAAGACTTTCTGATATGAAATTGAGAACAGTGTATCAGTCCAGATGACCAAAAATAGACTGCCATCCAATACCTCTTCAAACACATTCTTTTGATTTTGTTGATTTCGGGAACAAAAAAACAGTAAAAAAAATTATTAAATAAACAATTAGCATTAATCAATAAAATGAATTCTTAATACCAGGTGTATGCAAATGAAATGACACGATTGTTAAAAAAACACAACAAATTTGTGAAAACTGTTAATATTTCTTTATCCGAAATAATATCCATCGCTAACTACACATTTCCCCCATCTTTCGGGCAATTTGTGAATACCACGCCAAAAAAATGATCGGTCTTTTGAGGCCAGCCAGTCATCAAGCCAATATTTGACGTTTTCGTAAGAAGTGAAGCGCTGGTCAGCCAATGCGTGTCCCAATGATGCAAATAGGAGGTAATCGAAAGTAGCCAAGTCTGGCGAATAAGCCGCATGCGCTAAGGGTCCCAGACGAGTGCCTTTAACGATGTCCTTGGTGGGTTTAGCACGGTGGCTATAGGTGCGTTGTCATCAAGAAAAATCACTTTGTGCTGACGTTTCTTGTATTGCTCGCCTTTTTCGAGTATAGAATCGTTCAAATTAAGTAATTGTTGCTTGTAGCGATCAGTATTAACGGTTTCGCCGGGTTTGAGAAGCTCATAATAAATTGGTCCCTCCTGATCCTAGAAAATACACAGCATTGTATTGCGGCCGAAGCTATTCGGCCTTGCGGTCGATTTGGACGGCTGTCCGGGATCTACATATGATCTATTACGCTTGGGATTCTCAAAATAAATCCATTTTTCATCGCCAGTCACAATACGATGGAGATGACTTTGCGTTTGCAGCGGGCAAGCATCATTTCACACACGATTTTTCGGTTTTCTTATTGACCACCCGTTAGCTCGTGTGGTACCCACCTACCGACCTTTATTATCTTGTCCATTGCTTTGAGACAACGGTAAACAGTGCTCTGGTCAACATTCAATTGTTCTGCAAGATGTTCTTGCGCGTTTGGCCATCATCTTCCTCAATTAATGCTTGCAATTCAGCATCTTCAAATTTTTTGCTGGTCTGCCACGCTCCTCGTTTTTTTCACATCGAAATCTCCATTTTGAAACTTTTGAAACCACCTGTAACACTGCACACGACCAAGAGCAATGCCACCGCATGCTTCTAGGAGCATTTGATGTGATTCGGCGGCATGTTTCTTCAGATGATAACAAAAAGATATAATGCTGTCCGCAAATCGTGGTCGGAAGGCATAAAATTCGACATTTTCAACACAAAAATACAATGCACGCTGAAACTCGTCCAAATGTAAATTAAACATGAGTATCAAAGGTCAAACTATAAAAAGATCATGTGCAATGGTTTCGTATTGTTTGCATATATGCGTGGCGACATCTATTAGCAATCGTCTCAGTTGATATGCATACACCTGGTAAAACATATTTAAATCATAAGTACAGAAAATACAAGATTATAATGTCCTGACCCTTGACCCCTTCCCCGGATCCTAGTGTGCTCCTCTGAATGAAGTTAATAATTCAACAAATCATTGAAGATATCTGTTAAAATATTGCGTCTCTCTCTCTCTCTTTCTTTCTATAATGATCCTTCATCAACAGATTAAATAAGAAATAGTATCAGTTAAATTGACTATAATTAAGAACTGATTTTTATATCTTTAAATATTTAATACGAATGTAAAAAAATTGAGAGTTTATTCTCAATGAAATAACTTTTCTAGAGATTTCCGCTAAATATACAAGTATATTCTCACCAAATCACTAAATATGGCAACATTCTATAAATGTTACATTTTAAGTCTAATCACATTCATGAAAATTAATATATTTAGTATTATTGAAAATATATATATATATATAGTGTATAAAATACAGGAAAAAATATTTCAAGCAATAACAAAAACGAAATTTAACGGGAAAATATATTTGTTATTTTATTTTATTTTACTGAAAGAGATCGATTTATAAGTATTTGATATTAAACTATATAGTCATTTTTTCTTTCTAAAATTCAAACCCAACTTTCTATTGTATTCTCTTCCTTTTTAACAAAGAAAAAAGTGAACGCGCGCAAACGATAAACACGAATATTTCTTGTGGAAGAGAGGAATCTGGCAACGCGTGTTTGACAAATTTTTATATATATATATAAAAAAAAGACACGTTACCTAATACACAGAGTGGAAAAATGGATGCATTAGTTTTCGGCATGAAAATGGATAAAAATAGAATTTATTCATGGGAAATGTTTTCCATTAAAATACGTCACAAATATTTTTTGACAAGTGAATGTATTCGTCCTCATAAACATGTTTCGAATTTCAAAGAGGATATACAGAAACCCTTAAAAATAAACAATGTTTTCTATGCCTTTTGCCAGATGCTTATTGAAATTTCTGATTTTTAACTGGACGATATATATTTTTTAATAAATAGAAATTTTCTCTCATATATTAAATTTATACTGTAACTTTTATTTGAGTAAAAAAAAAGAGTAAGTTTTTTTTTCTTTTAAATTTTCTTCAAAATTTAGAGATTTTTTTACTGAGCAAGTATTTTAGGGTATTTTATAAGCACAACTACTTTGACATTTGTAATGATTAAAAAATCTCCAGTTTAAAAAGGATTTTTAAAATTGCGTTCATTCGGTAGAAGAGAGAGAGAGAGAGAGAGAAAAGAGTTAATTATTATCTTAAAAACTCAATGAAAGTTTTTTCCCTTTCAAATGGGGCTGCGGGTTGGTAATTTTCATTGCAGACCTTGTGCATTCCCAAGCAGCTGGTATCACTTTTAAGCGTGCCACCATATAGGTGGATACCAATTGCCCCAAAGTAATTTAGATACCCTGTTTCCTGCGCCAGAGCGAGGCACCTGAGTTTTGACAATGCGAACAGGTTCTAGGAATTTATTTTACTTAGAGTACCGAAACCAAACAAGCACACTAGGAAAATCTAATATATCACTAAATCATACAACAAGGATGCTGTAGACCAGTGTTTCCCAACGTGGGGCCCACGCCCCACAAGGGGGGCGCGGGCGTTCCGCAGGGGGGCAATTCGAAAATGGATACGACACAACACTAATCCTTCCGCTACGGGCCATTTAAATGCAATGCTAGATATCGGTGCCAAATTTATCAAAAAAAGCAAATTCTTAAATAATTATTAGGCATAATTTCGTTTGATGAGATCAAAATATCAACTGGGTGATTGGCTTCGTCCGGGGTTCACCACGGAATGTGTGCCGTCTGCTGGGAGGGGGACATAGTCCTGGCCAGTCAAGAAATTTGCTGAACAGCGCAGTTGTTTGCACCTAATTGGCCTATCGCAACACCTGTAGTGTTTTACATCATTCTGTTGGCCTTAATCTGGAATAAGTGTTCGGAAAAACTGTAGTAGAAGCTCGTTGTTTTTTTAAATATACATATT